GTGGCTCTCACGATCAGAATTGGACGGCTGGATGGTAGGGGAAGCATAGATCTTCTATGATGTAGGGGAAGTATAGAAACCTTTCCCTTATATATTAGCACGATAGCATGAACCTTTTTGATATTTTGAAAAACTGTACAATACGAACTCTGTTCTATCTAATTTTGTTAAAAAATGGCCCTTTATATGCATTCTAAAGCCCTAATTTCTGTAAATATTGATTAGTACAAAACAGAACAACCAGTTCACCTGTTATAAAGTCTGTTTCATATTTATTTGCTATTTTCCACTCAACTGCTAAACAATTAAATTTAAAAAATAACAATTATTTTGTTTTCCTTTATATATCTTAGCTGGTAACCTTATATAAGGGTATCAGACCCCAGCCAATTCAGACAGTAATACCAGTTTTTGGAACACTGTCACATTCTTTTCAAATTATTGACTTAGTATGGTCAATACGAAAAGCAACTAAGCAATTTCTCCAAACTGAAAAATTTATATACACATATGGAAAACCCATAAATCTTAAGGGAACAATTTCTAGAACATAAAGCAAAACAAATAAGATTGATTCCATTAAAAAAAAAAAAGAACAACAAAATCCATATTTCACTGACAACTACCCATCCTATTTATGAATGCAATTAAAATCCAACAAGTACAACGTCTGTATTAAATCTTCCCATTACACAACAGAAAATACAAGAGAACAACAACATTCCAAAAGTTAAAATTTTCTGTTTGGTTCTAAAAATCATCATTAGATAGAAGAAAGGAGCTTTCCGCTACGCAGCCAGGGTTTCACAGGGGTAAAATAATAGAGGGGTTTTAGGGTTTACCTCTACGAGAAGTGGCGCTTAGTTTGCAGGGGAAGGGGCCGTGTGAAAGGAACGAGGTTTTAGAGAGAGAAAGAGCACCCATCCGGGTGCAGTTCGATGGGGTTAAAGAAAGCATCATGTCCGAAACCGAAGCTTTTCTCTCTCCACCGGATGAAATACGCAGAGGAGAGAGAATCATATCCTTTTCTATTACTTTAAACGCCCATGGCAATCCGGCCATCTAACCTAAGAGTGAGGTAACATAAAGGAAATTGTTTCATTCGGGCTGGACCGCATTTCTACATATGCAGTCCAGAAAGTGTAAGGCATCTATCTTAAAGATGAATGTCAAAGATGAATGTCATCTGCAAATAATAGAAACTATAAATCTAAATATTTTTTTATTAAAATTATTATTTTTAATTTTATTTTTTCTTATATATTCGTAATCTCCATGTTAGAGATTACATGTACTTATAAATTAAGTCTTAAAATCCATCTAAAAAATAGATTTATTAAGAGGCTTGTATTTCTACATATGCAGGCTTGGTCGCATACAAACTGGGCCTTAACATAAATAGATGGTTAAATATGGTTATTGCTCACTCAGGGATGGGCCTGTCAAAGCTCATAGGATAGTAGGAGTGGCAATAGGTTAGGGCCGGCTGAACTGGTTGGGAACCGACCCTTACCTAGACCCGACCCAAATTGATTTTCCCAAAGCAACCAAGCCCGGGGGGGGGGGGCAGTGATCTCATATCACCGTGTCATTATAATGCAATAAAACCACAGTTCTAATAAATGTTTGTGGAATTTGTATGACCCCAAATTTTATGTAAGCATTCTCTTTGTCCCAAAAATCAATCACAAATAAAAAAACGCAATTTACACTTTAGATGAGGTCAAAGTGGGACCCCTCCAAACACAAAACTTGACTGTCTATTGGGTGAATTTTAAATTTAGGCCATTAGCAACTTAAAATAAAAAATTATCTTGTTTTATTTGTATTCATCTTGATAGCAAAACCATCCACAAAAAAAAAAATCTTTTTAAGGCCTAGATCTAAACATCTCACCAAATGTATAACCTATATTTAGTAGTAAAAAAAACACTATGTTCAACTCCTTGTAAAGCTTGAGGCCATTTTGCTTCTCATCAAACATTTAAACTTTTATATGTGCACGACTTAATAGATTAATGCATTAATATAATTTTTTGTTGGATGAATAACCAAGAAAAATACACTTTACAGCTTTTTCATCAAGTTTGTCGTAGCCCTCATCCTCAACGTCTCGCAATGTTATACAAGTGAAGACATTATGATGTGTAATATTTGGTTTCTTCTGAAAAATATGGTGTAGTATTTGGTTTCTTCTGAAAAATAAGTTGATAAGTACCACGTTCAAAGTCTCAAATGCTATGGTATGGAGTGTCTCGGTTTAATATACCTTAGGCAAATCTGTTCATTCACCATAGCTCGAGCAACTTCCATTATGTGTTGGTTCTTCCTCTTGGCAATCGAATTTTGTTGACATCCCAATACATGTCAGTTGTCTCTTGATTCCATTCTTTCACAATGAGTCATAAATTGTCCTATATATATATTTAAAGCTTCCTGATTTTTTGTATTAAACTCGTTATTACGAGTGCTTTTGAATTTTTTGAAGTACCCATATTCGATTTCCATTGGCAAAATAAATCTACATGTATTAAGAGCAATCATCAAGAAAGTTACATAGTACCTCATGTACCTGCAGTATTTTGCTGGATTTGAAACAACCCCACATATCAATGGTCCTTAATATGTATTTGTATGGGGGAATGATTTCATGCAAGGGTTGTATAATAATATAATGCAACCATCTTCAAAACCATGTCAGAGACATTTGTTTGACGCAAGTTTTTAAATGTACACCCTTTTCATTTTGAAGAGCAATCACAAAATAGAAAGTTTTAAAAAAATGCTCCATAAAGTTTTCATTATTGCCCAATTAATATAAACCGTCCATTTTATTGAGATGTTAGAATTTATTCTCAAAATTTTTATATAGTGTTATCATCATTAGATTAATAATGCTAAAAAATAAAAAAGTGATTCTAAATATGTTAAGGCCTAGATCTTAAAATTCGCCGAATGGATGGTCGAGATTCCTTGTTGGATACGTACTAATTTTGACCATATCTAGGATGCAAATTGGATTTTTTTTTTGTAGGATTAATTATGAGGATAAAGAGAATGTGTGTGCAAAATTTGGGGTAATACAAATGCCAAAAATATGGTTTTCTGGAGGTGTGGTTGTATTACACTACTATACAACTGTTGCATTACATCATTTCCCATTTGTATGTGGTAGGGTATTGGACATATGGATGCTCTGTAGCTTAAAAATGCATATGCTTGACAAATATAATTCCTATCAAATTGAGTCAGCATTTAAGTAAGGAAGAAGTTTATATAGGGACAAGGCTCTAAACAATCAATTTAGGGTGCATCCCAAAAATTCACTAAAAGAGGTTATTTTGAAGCCTAAAAACCCTCAAATTGATCATTTCGACCTCAAGATCTATAGACATGAGAAAATAAGAATTTCAAATCTTAGAAATAGTGCATTTTGTAATGCATTTTTGGACCATCAATTTTCAAGATTTTCGAGTGTTCATAGATCTACTCGATCTACGCTACCTTTAAAGTTTAAAATTTTATAATTAGATATGAAAATAAATTTTCAGGTCATCTCAAAGATTTCCAATATTGAAACATCATCTTTTGATACTATTTGAAGGTGTGCCTTACTTTAATTGTTTAAAGCCTCGGCTCTAACCCTTTTAAGTAATCACCTTCTTCTTAACCGTATCTTTTAGCCAAGGAGGATTTCAATGTTCCCTTTTCTTGTGCTAAATGAAGAAATCCTCTTAATAGAGACAAGTCTACATTCATAGCACATAAATGACCAACTTTTACGCATACACATACATATATATGAAAGCCATTGACCCATTACAATAATCTCAATTGCCAGTCAATTAAAATAGGGCCATTTATCAATATCCCACCATATTTTTTATAATTAAAATATGGATTACTTTACAAGCGTAACAAACCTGACCAGCCATTAATAAGAACCACAGAACAAAAATGAAGAAAAATAGATCAAGTGGAATTTACTTGATTTCCTCCGGAGAAAAGCACAGGGTGTAGTAGCCATATATAGCACAAGCCAACCCAAGAGGTAAAGACAAAGAAGAAAGTAGATTGGAATTACTATACTTTTCCAGGGAAGTCCATTTCTCATTGGTTCTCTCACCAAACCACTGTAACTTTTGTCCTGTCGCAAGAAGATCTCAACAGTCAATAGAGATGCAGCCTTGTGAAACCGAACCATCTCCACTCCCACTCAAGAATGGATCTATCTTCACCCACAAGAGAGAGAAAACAGAGGCCAAGAGCACAGACCAGAGCACAACAATGGTTGGGGTCCGGTTCTGTCTCCCCATCAACCCCTTCAAGAAAGGATACAAGTGGAATATGACCCAAAGAGCAAAGAAGACCTTTCCAAATAGGGGACCCCATGCCTCATAACCACTGTTCAAAGCATCAGAGAACCCAGCAACCACACCAACCAAGTTCACAACAAGAAGAGTGGTTGGTGGAATGAGAAGAGTTGTCCACTTAAAAACATAGAGTTCTCCAAATTCGGCATCATCTGAGGCCTTTGCAGTGACTGTGAAGTTGGTGTCGAAGCCAGCTGCCATCTTTAAGATGCCTTGGAAGACAGCAAATAGGTGGGCAGAGACACCGCCGATGACCCAAAATTGCTCGTTTCGCCACAAGTCTTCGATGCCTACACCACTCCATCTGAGCTCGAGCACACTGGTTAGGATGATGGAGAGGAAGAGGCAAAGGAACCACACGCTTGCTAAGTTGGAGAGCTGCATGGGAAACAAAGGATACATTAGCGAGGGAGAGTAATTGCTGGTGTGGGGAAATTGTTTTGAGGATTAGAATTTGAATATCAACTCTTCTCCATCTTCTTTCTCAGAATAAATCTTGTCTTTCCCTATTTCTCATGGAAAATGCCACTGATTCAAAATATCATTCCAAAACTAGACCTTGGAATATTTGTACAAGACGAAGAATGCTGTTTACCCTTCCATAGTGCTAATTCAGTTCTTGAAATTTCTCAGCACAGAAAATCTTGAGAAATTTTAGAACTTATAAGCTTTAGTTTCTGTAGAACATGCTCTAGAAATCTGAAATCCCCAAAAAAACATAAAATTCCAAATTTGAACAACAAGGAAGAGAAAATTTTTATGATAGTTTTTAAAGGTTAAAAGAAGAATAAAACAGTGAAGAAAAAATTATCATGGTTATTAATAAAAACATCACTTTCAAATACCCAACAATACTCTTCCACATTTTCACAGAATATAGAAATATTTGCTACTGTGAATTATTAATCTTTAAGTCAATAAGTAATTATGCATACATGTATATTTATGTGACAGAGTGAGAGGCAGAATGCTTACTGTGGGAATGATGAATTTCCCAGTGAGAAGGCATATTGCTGGGAGCGAACAATAGGCAATGAGAGGAATGGAAGTGAAGGGGTAAACGATAGTGTTAATGTAGGCTAGCCTTTCGAGCCATTTTAGTCTACCACCTCCAAACCCATACCATAGAGGGCAATGCCTGCTAAAGAAGATCTCGACTGAACCAAGAGCCCAACGGAGCACTTGGTGTAGTCGATCGGAGAGGTTTATGGGGGCCGATCCCTTAAATGCAGGTCTTATAGGCATACAATAAATCGATCTCCATCCCCTACAGTGCATCTTGAAACCACTCAATATATCCTCGGTGACTGATCCATATATCCATCCAATCTGCAATAATAGAAGGGAGCAAAAAAATAAGCGCAGTTATCAATTTTTCTATGAGTGATACTTTAGAAAAAGATAATTTACAAATAAAGGATGTGAAATTTCAGTAAAAGAAATTTTTTCATCTACAAGTATAATTTTGTGGATATATATATATATGGAAAATGCTGAAATTAACCCACTAGCTCATTTGAACATATGTGTTCACATGAGCCCAACAGTCCAGATTGAATCTGGGTCGATCTGATGGTCACAACCTCATTTCGTATTTGAATTTTAATTTTTTTCTACGAACCCAAATAATTTTGAATTTTAGCAGTGTATTCTTCAAAAATAGGAGAATCTAATAAAAAATCAAAAAAATAATTTGATCAAAATACCCTTGCAACGTTTCTGGGATATTTTGGTTAATTTATTTTTTGTGAATTATTTTTAAAATATGTTTACCAAGTGTGCCTTGATGAGAAAAATACACGCCTAAAATTTCAAGCTATTTGGATTTATATAAAAAAATTAAAATTCAAACACGAAATAAGGTCGTGACCGTCAGATCGGCCTAAATTCAATCTGAGCCGTTGGGCTCATATGAGCTAGTGGGCTAATCTCAACATTTATTATATATATATATATATATATATATAGCTTGTTCATGTGGAAACCTTTGTCACAGACCTGTGACACCAATGATGATGAAACTACAATCATGATCGCAAACCTTTTTCTTTTCTTTTTTTCGCATAACGATCATGATCATTATTATCATTATCATGATGTTGTCTAGTCATTAACTCCATATTAGTAGATATTTTTCCATTGCCAAATTTCTGTGAGATGTGGATCATAAAGATGAGGAGCACCTCCCTATGCATTCATGGTGTGGGTACCTCCCTATGCATTCATGGTTCTAGAGAGTGAAAGATATAGAAAGCACAATTTCATTTTCTATTTTTGTATGTTGTATAAAATGAAATAAATAAATTACCTCCTTTCCCCATTCAGTTCTCTCTTCATATCCACAGCCGATGACATGAATAGCCTCCTGAATTAGCGTGGCGGGATTGGCAGACTCCGCCACTCCACCATTCTCCATAAGTGTAGACTCAATGAATACAGATGACAAACCAAACGTCTTCTCAAAGCTCATTTGAGAGATCAAGAGTGATCTTTCATAATCATCATAGTCTTGATATAGTTGTGAAACATTAAAAAAGAATAAAGCAAACATTTATGGCTATAATCATTTAAAATAGATACATAACAAATAATCCAAGTTCCTTAATAAAGATTATACGATGGCTGTCAAATTCCTTAAATGTGAGATCAGAAAAACCAATCGGACTTACTATCAATTTCTGTGAGGTTGAATATGGCTGCATCCAGGTCCTCCCGTCTGGAGTCACGATAAATTTCTTTTTGATCTTTGGAAGGTTTCTTTGAACTAGAACAACAGCAGCAGCAACCCCAAGAGCAACATGAAGAGCTCCTAGAGGAAATTTTAGGTAGAGATGGAGGACCATAACCATAAAGAGCTTGCCTATTGAAAACACAACCAGTCCCCACATAAACTGGTCCTTGAATACCATCAAGTCCCTTCATGTTAACCTGGAATCATTTTGATAATAACCCAACATGTTAAACTGTAGAGAATTAATTTTGGACTAAAAACAGATTAAAATCCTTTTTGGTCCTATTTTCCTCATCTTTTGGGGCTTACGTTAAGCGATCTGTGCTAGACCATCTAAGGCAGCTAATACAAGTCGGGACAATTTCTGTCAAGGTGCTAAAGCCAATACAACTGCAATCCATGTGGGTTGGTTGGTAGGGCCTTGTAGATAAAAGCCTTTGGCCAGATATTGTCGATTAGTAACTTGGTTGATCCTAATACACCATTTCACTTTACTAGTAGCAAAAAGAGTAAGTGCTTACATCAAAGAAAACTGTGTTCCGATTGGCATATCGATCGCTCCGATCAATGCCATCGAATCTCTGAGGGAACTGAACATAACAAACATCCCTACCAACTTGGGGGTCCATCATAAAACACATGGCTTCCCGAACTGCCTTGCTATTGTTGACATAGTGATCACAGTCAAGGTTGAGAATGTAAGGAGCATTTGTGAGAACTGCAGATACTCTCACCTGCCAGGGCATTAGAAAATACAACCCAATGTTATAAAGATTAGAGTTAAAATTAGAAATGCTTCAAAAGAAACAAGTCTAACTAAGAAAACAATAAAAATAGATCCACATTTGCTTCTTCAATATTTGGGAGAAAAATGATACCAAAGCATTCATGGCACCAGCCTTTTTGTGATGTTGGTATCCCGGCCTTTTTTCTCTTGACACATACACCAACCGTGGAAGCTCATTTCCTTCAATGTCATGGGCACCACTATGTCCAAGGAATACCTGTAGATACATGGTAATGAAATAATGCAAACTCAGATTCCCAGATCATTTGCTTAGCTTTCTGTAGGGATCTAGGTCTGTTTGAGGTTGCATAACATACAAGCCTTAGCCCAAATGAAACCTTAATGTTTGTCCAAATCCAGTTTAACCTTCCATAACAATGACAGCATTATTGGAATTTGGGAATAATTAGTATGAAAGGAGGATGACCCTTGGAATTGAAGAGTTTCCTTTTATTAGACTTCCATATTCATTACAATTTTCCTCCAAATAACCAAGGTCACCCAAAATAAAGATTGCCTGGATATTGGAAAAATGCCCTTAATCGCCTGCTAAAAATATATAAAAGTGCACAAATAGCCCAAAATAATAATAAAATTTTATCGTTTCATTAGTACTGCATTGATTTTCTTCATCACTTCTTTGTTTTTATGCTTCAGTCATGTCCCTATATCTCCAAAGGAAATGGTTACGCCAAGAAGTTTGGTCATCAGTAATGTACAATATAATACTTTTCAATTCAATAGGTATCCTTTGCTTTCTAGGCAAAAAGAAAAATATGACAAGACAAATGGCCTAGAAGTTGATTTCAAGAATCCCTCTTATTTTCAAAATTAATTAACACTGTCCACGCTGCATATATATGGTTTCTAGATTTGCTAAAATGACTATCATAACTACTGAACAAGTGCGAATAACTTGCATAAAATATACACTTGGGCCCCGTTTGGATAGCCCAACGAGTCCATTAAAGGCATGGAGTTATTCATTAATGAAAGAAAAGTAGTTTTTTTCCCTTTTCTCTAGCACTAGGAGTGGCTTGTTCAGAAGCATGAATATAAGAGCAGGTCAAGGTGGGCAGCTTTTCCCTCCTAAATGGGTGGGGTGGTAAAACAGCATTATCACCTGAATTTGGTCTGCCCAAACAGGGCACACACTACTTTCTTCTGAATGTATATATGCATGTATGTCTACGCAGGGATGTAGATATGTACCTGAATCATACCCGGATGGTCACGAGTGTTGTTTCCTGGCCAAGATGTCCCATCTTGCATAGTCCAGCCTTCATCTGGGGTTTTCTGAGCCTTGGCTACCAAAGCATTTATCCTGACCTTAAACTCTTCGTACTCTCTCTGCACATCATTGATAACCAATTAATTGCACAGGAATACGAAATAGCAATCATTCCTTTCTAATTAGCCCACATGAACTTTCTAATAAAGTAGATCATAGTTGTTGAATATCATGCCGGAGAAAACACATTACTTATCAAATTGAGAACTTCGTTTTGATTAGTTTTACACTTTTCTAATGGATAGCGGTTCAAATTTTAAACTTTAATCCCAAATTCAGCCATTATTTTCCACCTGTCTTCTTAAAATTGATAATTTCGAAGAGAGACTTCCAACAACCAAAACACCAATCCAAATTTGATTTGAGATTTCAAAACTTTGAAGCTTTCTTACTTTCATGGCTCGGCGCTCCTTGACAAATGAAGGCTGCACCTTGTCCTTCAAGTAATCAATCTTTTGAGAGAAGTAGAACTCAGGAGCCCGGGGCTCGATTGAGAACTTTTGGCAAAAAGGGACCCACTTCCTCGAAAACTCAGCAGTTTCAGAGAGAGACTCAAATGTCAGCATAGCAGCACCATCATCAGAGACATAGCAGGAGACCTTATCAACAGGGTAGTCCACTGCAAGGATTGAGAGCACAGTGTTCGCGGTGACTAGGGGCGGCTCCTTGAGGGGATCGACTGTACTCACAAAGAAATCTACAGATGCTAGTCCAGATGCCTCACCCTCTCTCTCATACCTGTGGGAATAACATTATTTGATGGTCTGTGTTATCATTCTTAGTTTTCTTCAAAAGGAAGTCGTGTAATTTACCTCTAATAATGACTTGAGGTTTTAAATGGCGGCGACCATCTCTTTCTCTCTCTCTCTCGGAGTTGTATGTTTCAATTTTTCCATCCAAACAGTGGGTGGTACTCAAAAGCCAAGATAGCAAAACACAGTTGCTATACTACACATACATAATGATACAACATACACACACACACACATGCCCCTTGAAAAGAGAGAGAGAGAGAGAGTTTTTAACATGTGAATTTTCAGGCAATATGTGCTTAAAATAAATTTCCTCATAAAATGTAATGTAACATGTTGCCGTTTCCTTGTTCGATGTAGCTTTTAAGAGGAAAAGGAACAGGCATCATACCTCATGGACAAACGATCAAGATATGTCTCCCTATTGATAGGATACCACTTGGGGAACTGGTCAAGCACCCATGACATGGCGAACCAGATCTCACAAATAATGGAAGTCAACCAGAGTCCATAAGCACTATCCACTGGATTGGTTATTCTGTAATGGAAGAAAAGACCCAGAATTATCAGCCTCATAATGATCACCACTCTATATGGTGTGATCTTGCTTGAAGGAATCAGTATCACTCTCGAGAGTGGCTCTGCAGCTTCGGAAACCCTGAAATAAGTCAATAACACAACTACATAAGACCCAAGATAATAATTCTATGGAATTTAGTCCTGGAATCGATATATAAGAAAGCATAATATACCCATAAAATAGACAACCAAAAACAAGAATTGAGAGGTCTATCCATTACTAGACTTACTGGTTCTCTTCCATTTGTTGCTGAGATGGAATTTGGACTTCTTTTCCTTCCTTATTGGCAGGCTTCTTCTTCTTGTTTTTCTTCTCTTTCCAGCTCTCTACTCTGTTCTTCCAGATTGGATTTCCAACTTCCCCATTTGATTCTTTGAAATACAACAATTTTAAATAAACAAAATTCAGAATAATACATCTTTCTCATAAGAACAACAACGCACAATAAATAAATTTTGGCTAACGGTTTTCGCAAGCAGACCAGTCTCTGCTGCGGAGTGATTATTTGAAGGCATTGTGATAAGTCCAACTTCCTGTAAATTTTGGATTTTATTCGTTAGGAATGGAAAAGATGAACACAAATTTCTCAGTAAAAAACAACCCAAAATTCAGACATTTTGAGATACGCATGAATTATATATTTCATGGGAACCAAAAAACCTCAGAACTTAGTAATTTAGAGTACCTGTGAATCCTGGAGATGAGCTCCCATTGTTACTCTTCTGCCTGCAACTTTGCCATTGCCTTCCTTGGCTGGGTCCTCTAAACAAATCAATCAATCAAGAAAATGGTTCACATAAAAAACTCTGATACAGTACACTTTCAGCTTGAATGAAGGATACATATATCATTCATGACACGGGAGTGAAGAGCCTATGCAGGTTGACCAACAAAATGCAACCGAGGTTTCCACAAACATTCATACTCATCACCAATTTTGAGTAATGGTTTAAGGCTTCAGTAAATGCCTCTCTCTCTCTGTTCGCGCCTGAACAAAGATTTGAAATTGAATGATGAAGAGGGACGATAAGGGCATTTCAGAAAAATGTTCGGATGGTTTTGTCCTTAATTACAAAAAGTAGGGTAGATTTAGACATATAATCCAATTTCAAGCGTCCGAGCATTCTGCTAAAAGATTTTTTATTCCCGTAGGTGTACACAATCTATCTACTCCCAGGCAAAACTTAAAATATCTTATACATCAGAAACTACTCTAGAAACAGACAATCACTTTCAATCATTGTCCTCAAAGCCATTTTTCAAGGTCAGTATATGAATCTTAGTAAGTTATTTTGCTCTTAAAAGTCATATCTTCGGTAAAACAAGTCAATGACTTAGATTTAAGATTCATACAAAATTTTTGACAAAATTTTAAGTTGATTGGCTAACACAACCCGCCCTGCGACCTTTATTTAGGCTTGGGACAGGTTAAGAAAAAGTTCACGGTCGAAAAATTTAACTGTGTCTAGAAAGAAAAAAAGGAATTTTATGATTTTGGCGGGAGCCATCTACATGTTTAAGAATTTAAAATCCAATTTTTTTTCTTTTTTGAAAATTATATTACACGACGGCGAAAATTTGGAGCAAAAAATATTTAAACATATAGTATAGTCCTGTAGGAGCAGTATAGGAGCCCATTCAATTCAAATACGTAGAAGGCATATGACAGAGAACGCGTGTACCTGTGTAGAGAGAGAGAAAGGGGGTAGACAGAGTGCGTGTGCCTGTGTTAGGAGAGAGCAAGAGAGAGAGCGTGTGCCTGTGTTAAGAGAGAGAAAGAGAGAGAGCGTGTGCCTGTGTTAAGAGAGAGAGAGCGTGTGCCTGTGTTAAGAGAGAGAGAGAGAGAGCGTATGCCTGTGTTAAGAGAGAGAGAGGTAGAGAGAGACCAGAGGAATGAATGTAGGGGGCGCCACATCTGAGGCAGCTTCTTCCACCTTCCTTCAATTCATAGTCATAGCAAGCCCTGCATATGGGGTAATTGCATTCATGGCAGCCCATAAACACCGATCCCTTCGAATCCATCCCCACTGGTGCACCACAGGCACCACACAACGGAGCCCCTGACTCCATCATCCTTCCTCCACCTAACTTTCCTGATCTCTGATATGCAAAGAGAAAGAGGTAACCCAATCTCTTTACTCTTCTGCAAATGCCCTAGCTAGGGTTTCTGATATTCTTCTTCTTTGCTGAGAGCATTGTCCTGGGTCTCTCCTTCTTCTTCTTCATATTGTTGTTATTGGTTGGAGAGATGTTTGGTGGGATGGGAGGGTGAGAAGTCATTGGGAGAGAGAGATGGGAAGCAAAGTGCGTTTGGAGGGAAAGAATATTGCTGTGTTTTGAAGGAACGCTGCTGTTATGTAAACTATGAACCGGATTGTTCACCAAAAGCTTCAGTCCCAGGCGACTTGGGGGATTGGATCCCACCAAAACTGCCTAACTCATGCGTACTCCTCACTCTCCTACCATCACAATTAAATCAGTTAGTGCCCCATGTGACCATTCTATTACGATGGTCATATGGATCATACTTAACCTTTTGTTTTTTTGACAGGGATAAGAACTTTTATTTAATGAGTGCTTAAAAAGCATCGAGTCACATAGAAGAGATCAAATCAATAGAAATAAGCAAAGACGATAAAGAAACACCCAATTTAGCAAAGATTGTCGGCAACATCATTTGCTTCACGGTAGGTGTGGCAGAAGGATATTCGTGGCCCCGGGGTACCACAAAGGTTGTGAATTTTTAATCAGAATATATGGAGAGATCATGAAATGTTTTGCTCTTTCTTGCAGTATTCTGATAACATTGAGAAAATCCCCTTCATTAATAATGTCTCCCATAAATCCTTTAGTCACAATGATGTCTGAACCAAGCAAGAAAGAATAGACTTCAACTTGATCAGCTGTAGTGTTGCCACAAGGTCCCACAAAAGAGAAGAGAACAAGCCCTTCATGGTTTCGAAGCAAGACCCCAATCGCAGCAGGACTTAGATTGTCTAAAGATCTCCCATCAAAATTGAGTTTGAGAGAGCCTAGAGGACACAATTTCCAAATTAGTTGGGGTCAGCATGAGTGATAGAATGAAAAGGCTAAGTTCTTCAAATTAACATAAATGTATGTATGGGAAACCCCACGACCCTCGAAAGTAGAAGAGAACCAATCCTATAGGGACTGTAGTATATGGTCTTTACCACGTTCCAAGTCCATTGCAGCCCCATCAAAAGTTCCCATGTTGCATTCCAACCGAATCTGCCATAAGATAACACTCTGAAAGATCTTCCAAATAATAGCTCCTTTCGTGGTAGTACAATAGAGCTGAGATGATTAACAATAACAATTAAGTTCCCTGGTATCATAATTAAAAATTCCATTTTTCTAATTGCCCAATGCCAAATACCAATAGCAAAAAGGAAACGCAAAAAAAAGTAGATGTCATATTCTTCATCACTCTTGCACATAAGGCAGACATCACATAAAATTCTACCCCTTTTGCGAATATTATCTACCATGAGACATTTATCCTGCATAGCAACCCAGAGGAAGGCTTGATTTTTCACAGGAGTGGGCCATTTCCGAATAGTACTAAGAGTACGATTTGCCCATCTAACCCAATCATTAAAAAGAAGCCTATATCTACATACTTGATCGAAAAAACTCCATCTAGCTCACGCTCCCAAACAATCTCATCAGCAAAAGAAGGAGAAATATAGATACCTTCAAGGAGTGTCAAAAGATTCTGAAGTTGTAGGATAACACTATTTGGAAATCTATTATAAGCACATGCAATATTTCAATCCAGTCTCGGTGGTGATGAAGGAAAAAGGTTCGATATTTTAGCTGATGGAGATGTCACCCTGACAAAAACATTTGCAAATTGATACAATAAAAGTCTATCACCAAGCTACCTATTAAACCAGAAGAAAGTGTCTTCTGCATTCCCAATCAACCATCTAACATTGCTCATTATTATGTTGTTGCAGCTGAAAATACTTTTTCATATTTGAGAAGAGTATTTACCTCTTCCTTTTTTAACCAAATGTGAAATGTGATCGAAACCATATTTCCAAGATATTTTTCCACAGATGGTTTTGCCCTTGAATGATTCTCTACCACCACTTGGAAAAGAGGGCCCAATTCATAAGCTTTTTCCGTATATCTAATCCACCCATCTTGATCGGGGTGGAAATTTTGTCTCATCCAACCAAATGGTACTTGTGGTGTAAATCATCTACTATCCCCCAAATAAAATTACACATGTATTTCTCAATTAATTTTATAACGTCACTAGGCATTTGAAGAATAAAGATCAGATAAATGGGCAAATTGGCATAAATGGACTTAATCAAACTTATGCACCCCCCAAAGATAAAGACATAATGAACTTTCTTGGTTCTCGTACCACCTTTGTTTTGGGAGCATATGGCAAAAGAAAAATATACATTGGGGCCATTTACTTTTTGTATGAGAAGGTCACAATCATTCATGTTCATCAGATTTTAAATCGGTTCATAGTGTGTCAATGATTACACTCAAGGTTCTAAAAAAACCTCGTATTTCATGTTACTCCTGAGCCATCCAATTTGACATCTAATAACTAGGAGTGATTGTGACTTCCTTGCGACAATGGTGAATGATCTCATAATATACAAACCCTATAGCAAATGAATATTTACTCCTCTGAGCAAGCACCTATTCCGGAAGATCCTTTTAGTTTAAAGGAAAATTTTAGTAATTATTTATTTTTTACGCTATATTAAATAGTTGTGGTTTATGTAAGGTTGCAACCTTAAATAATCAAAGTAAGTTGCAAGTCTAAACTTTATCATACGATACAATTTTGGTGTAAAAAATTCTTAGGATGGCCTGACAATCTATCTATAAATGGTTCAAATCAAACAGATTTATAAAGATCTATAAACTCTATCATATACAGTCCAAGTCCATACCGTCTTTTTCATATTTTTATTATCCTAAATGCCCCTAGGTCACAACTCGGAGGCCGGGTCAAAACTCAAAGTACCAACCTGATTTGTTTATCACAAAACTAGATCAGAATGTGGGTTCCAACCTAGTTTATTTTTCAAAACACAGGGCCAGAATATCGAGTTTTGACCCATTACATTTGCCAAATTTCGAAGTCACAACTTGGAGTTCGGATCCAGCTTACTTGTGAAACTACAAGGATGTCGGAAATCCACGTTCTAACCCCGATGAGTGAGTTATTTTGTACACAAGGGTTTGTTTCTCTCTCATTAATGTGGCAATCATTCCATCCTTCAATTATCATTTAATCCTTTTGCTTCAATGTGCAGGTATGCTCCCCCCTTTTTAATGCAAAATGATATTATGATCCCCCATTAAAAAAAGAAAAAGAAAGAAGATGTTATGCTTTTCTACATTTAACCAAATACCTTAGCATTTTCTAATGATATGACCTTAGGTTTTTTTTTTTATATTATTTAATTGACTTTAAGGGAAAGGTATTTGCATGTATTTGTTGTTTAGTACAATGAAAATGGGGTTTTATTTTTGTGCTTAATTGAAGCGGTAAGATGTCATGTTGGCTATTAGATAGACTCAAATTCAATTTCGTCTGTTGGACTCACACTTTCCATGAGCTCACAAACTAGGACTATCTTTTTCTCACTCCATATTCAAACAAATGATGGGTAAAAATTGGCTGAGAACAAACAAGAGATAATGATAAGATAATAAGTAGGAATAGTGTTTCAAAACCCAATGATCTAGGTTGGGAATCGCTGATTTAGACCAAATATCAACAGGACCGAATAAGTCCCCCCCTCTGACAACCTCCCTTTCATTTTTTTTATGCTTCTTTTAAAAGCTTATCCAATATTTTTTTAAGTTCCTCCAACCTCTTGGGGTGATTTTAATATTTTATTTTTCAATATTTTTCAGTTCGCCGATTTAGACCAATCCACACAAATATGTGGAGTAGATGATCCACTCCATTGAAACACAAATTGGGGATGTTGCATATATTTGCATTTCAATTGAATAGGAAATCTAAAGGAAGCGCAAAATCCCCCACCAATGTATAGCCTTGGAAGAAATTTCTCCAAAATTTATTTTTAGTTTTTTTTCCTACTAACTATATGAACATGAAATTTGGTATGTGGCATCACCTCAATGGGGTACACCTAAATCAAATATTAAAAAAATAATTTTGATAAAATAAAATGACCAAAATACCACTAAAACTTTTAGGGGCATTTTAATCATTTTATTTTATTGGGAGTATAGTTTTTATATTTTCTATAGGTGCGAGTTCAAGAGAGGATGGGACGCCCAAATTATGGTGTCAGCAATTTTTGTATAAGAAATATTAAAAATAAAATAGTATGGAGGGTGACATTATGATTGGGGCCATCTAAGCCGTCCATTAATAATAGATGGTTGGATAGAGGGGAAATATAGAAGTTTTATGTTATAGGGGGAAGCATAGAAAGCTTGTCGAAACTAAATTTAGCCAACATTTATAGTTTTTTTTACAATATTAAATACTTTTATTAAGAAGTTGCTTAGAAAGCATCAGTTACATAGGAGGGATTACAACGTCAAACAAGGAAAGAGTCTGCAAGTGAACCCCAAAATTTTGCAAGTCGATCAGCTTCAGTATTTGCTTCCCAGAAGATATGGTTGAAAGTTACGTGAATTGAAGGCGACAAGAACAAGTCTGTGATCATGATCCAATATCCAAGAAGAGACAAGGGGACTCGTTGTTTCAAGGTACACCAGTTAATAACATTAAGACAGTGCCCTTCTATAAGGATAGTTTCAGAAAGAAGATTGCTAACAAAAAATTCTACTCCCATGAGAAAAGAGATGATTTCTGCTTACTTAGCCGTAGTGGAACCACAAGGACCTGCATAAGAGAAGATAATTGCGCCTTCATGATACCTAAGAATCCTGGAATTCCACAAGATTCCCCAATGAGATGCCATCAAAATTTAATTTGAAGCAGGCAAAAGGAGGCGGCAACCAAAGGGAAAATAACTGAGTCTTGAGCACAAAGGAAAAAGAAAGTGAACTCTGATTAATAAAGACATATGTCCTTGTAACACCTCGTCCCTCTTTTGTGAGGGAATACCAACTTCAAGCATTATGTAGAATTTTATCTTTAATACTTGAGATATCCAAACACACCCCATCAAAAGTCCTTATTCTTTCCTGCTAAATCTACCAGAGTAATGCACTTCTAAAGATCTAACCCTTTAGCGAGAAAATAGAGGCGGAATAAAGGTTTAAGATTGAGATAACCTCAGAGGGAATCTCAAGATTGAGACGCACAATTTGAAAAGCCCAATTCCAGATAACTATGGAAAAGGGGCAATGCAAGAAAAGGTGGCCACCAGATTCCTCTGCATGTTTGCACATCAAGCAAACGTTAGACAATATCCTGCCCCTTTTGT